TTTAATTTTAATGTTAATATAAGTACAAAGTAATTAATCTAATTCTAGTAATTGTACTGGCATTTATGCTCTCCCAATTAGATTTCTATATATGTATATGCATATATATATATGTATATATATACTATATTTTTCAAATTTGTATATCCTAGACACTTTATCAACAAAGGCAATTCTAACTAGACTTGAAGGTAACTGACATCTGTTATGTTTACATTTATTGAAGTTTTTCTTAGATTTATTAAAAACTGGTAACTTTTTTTCTGTAGTGTATCCAGCTTGCGTTTTGCACTTTTTCAGTTTTTCTACTCTGTTAAATTTGTTTGGATATAATACAGTCAATGGAAAGTATAAAACGCAAAACAAGAGTGCTGTAAACAGAAATTTAATAACAGGAAAACTATAAGTCGATCATTTGGTTTGGACGTTCGATTGTTGCAGCAGTTATTATCGATTGCAATAGGCAAGGCAAATAGTTGGCTGTTGTGTGTGCGTGTGTGTGTGTGTGCTTGCATATTTGGTTGAGTGTGTTGGCCATTTGGACGTTGGCCACAGTTGCCAGTTAGCTCCAATTATTTACATTCTGTCATTATTTTGCAGAAAATCGTTTGCGGCCATGTTTAATTAGCAAAATTCATGTTTGAATGCTTTAAAACAATTAGCCATAGTTGCGTTCACACACACTCACACAGACGGCTTCGAGTTGCAGTTTAATAAAGTGAGTGCCATGAGTGCAACATATGAATACACTCGCACGCATTTTAATGCTCATATTGACTTTAGGCGAACTAATGAAGGCTCTGCATGCTGAGCGCTATTTGGCTCAATAAAATATAAATGATTGCAACTTATATAGCCTGTGATTGCTGTGGCATATGCATGTGGCAAGTACATATTATATAGATGCATTTCTCCTAGCCAGCTCTGCCCCGCCCGCTTAATCAGCGATGGGCGCAGCAATGTTTATTTATTGATGTGACTTTCATTTTGGAAAAGCGGACGACCGCAGCATTTAAGCGGAAATTAAAGGATGCAATCTGTGTCACCATTTATAATGCAACTGCTACAACAAAATGCACAGAGAGCGACAAAGAGAGACAACAAGATAGAGAGAGAGAGAAAGAGAGAGACAGCTACAAATAATAATTTGGTCTCGTCGTTTGGACTGCGCTTTTTGGCTTGATTTATTTTATTTACTCGACCCACAAACAGATTTATTCCCGCCTATTTATAATTTTACGCGCTGATAGCTAACTAATTATAAGCTATAAAGATTTCTTTTATATGTTGGTAGGGTAAATATTGGTAGTTAAGATTTTTGTTTACGAAGCCCTCCAGCCAAACCGATTTCAGCCAGAATCTTCTTTTTAAGATATTGAGTCCCGAGCGTTAACAATTGCTCAAATTTAAACAGAATCTAATTGTTTTATTTTGGATTTGGAAAGATGATGAACCAAGGCTATGTCTCAAAGAAAAGCTAAATTTTGCTAGTACGCGATTGAGAGATACCCTGAACTGTCGATGCTCCCAGCTGGCGTTGCTAAAATTTTAACTTCCTTCTATACAAACATAAGCCATAACACACACACACTCACACATACAGCTGGATATCATACAAGCTGGATTTCGATATCGATTTATATCGATTGCTTGGAAACGGGGCTAGCTATCGATGATCGTTCAAAATTCCGATTCTCTAGCTCTTATAGGTTCTGAAATCCATGCGTTCATACATACGGACAGACGGACGGACGGACAGACGGAAAGACGGACGGACGGACAGACAGACGGACATGGCTAGATCGACTCGGCTGTTGATGCTGATCAAGAATATATATACTTTATGGGGTCGGAGATGCTTCCTTCTGCCTGTTACATACATTTGCACAAATACATAATACCCTTTTTACCCATTTTCAATGGGTTCAGGGTATAAAAAGGGTGAGTCGAATCCAAAAAAAATTAATTTATAAAATGAAAATTGTTTATTATTTTAATTATTTTCCCTATATCTTTGCATATTGCCTACGTATTTCACTTAATACTCGTATATTCTACATATTGGGTATGTGCATGATAATAAAAGAGTTAACAGAAGAATAATTATTATGAGAGACGCACACAAATAACAGACGGAAAAATGAAAACAGAAAATTTATATTCAACTGAATTGCATATTTTCCCAAGCAGTAATTGTGTACTTAACAGACTTGAGAACTTAGGGGTCCGACCCATAAGTTTTGCTACTGCGGCATCATTTCAATTAGTGAAATTATCGTATATGTGCGACTATATGCTTGGGACAATATTATTGTCGTAAATGTAGCCAATTATTATAAAACAGTTGCTGAAAGTAAATTGGACTCATTAAGAAAGCTATAAAAAGATGCCAAGTGCAATGTGAGTTTCTGTTTTCTGGAATGCAAAGTGAACATAAAGCCCCATAGCTTGACAAATGACTTAATCGAATTGAATTAACTGCAGAACTGCAGAAACAAGATATTTAGTTAAAATTAAAGAACGATTTTTTTAAAAAAATTAAATGAGTTAAGCTGCTTTCATAATTTATAAATAGATCCGTCTGTCTGTCCGTCCGTCCATCCGTCCGTCCGTCCTTATGAATGAACGCAAGGATCTCAGAACCTTTAAGAGCTAGGGACTTAGAATTTTGAAGTAAGAGTTTGCTCTCAAAAATAGATAACTTGACCCGTGCTCAAGCAGTCGATTAAAATCAAAATCGCAATCCTGTTTTTTTAAAAAATCTCTTTTGTTTTATTGCCTAGATTCACCAAATTTTACACTTAGCTTCCGGAATATTATATACAGATCAACTATCTTTAACTTTAAAGCTAACGGGGGATGCCCTTCCCGCGGAGCTCCATTTTGTATTGATAGAAGTAGGTTAAGCACACCCGACTAGAGCACTCTTGTTGTTCTTGATTGATTATTAAATAATGCGGCCAATAAAAACTAATAAATCATTTACAAAAAATAATCAAAAAAATTCAGTTAATTTCAAATGAAAACTCAAATGAATTTTTAATATTGATATTCTCTTGACATTGAAAGCTAATAAATCATTTACAAAAAATAATCAAAAGAATTCAGTTAATTTCAAATGAAAACTCAAATGAATTTTTAATATTGATATTCTCTTGACATTGAATATTGCGTTGAGGAAAATTGATGAAATATGAACTATATTCAAATACAATGTCCTTTTTGAGGAATTGCTGGCTTAAAACTTTTTTTTGCTGTCATGTTTATCACCAGATATAAATAAATATATATATATATATGAATATAACAATATATATTTATTTAAAATTTATTTTTTGTACAGCTTCGCTTTTCAATTTACCGGAAAAGCTGCTCGGCAAAAATTTATTGGCAACAAAAAAAAAAGTTAAAATAATGCGGAAAATGCATATCTATTTTTAATTAATTGTTGAGACAAAAAAAATACAAAAAATATATATAAAAACAATCCGTAAAATAAGTTAAAGTGATTGTGCAAATCTCAGAGTTTTATTTCATATTAATTATGCAGCTGAATGATTGCAATTCATGCATTTAATGTGCACAAAAAAACAAAAAAAAAAAAACACAATTAAATTGCGAAAAGCATCATGAAATGGCGGAAAAACAATCAAGTGTTTAATGCACCGAGAAATGTACACCCTACTTATTATTATGATTGATCAAGTGTTGCTGAATGAACTTATAAAGGGTCAATTTTAAATACAATTTATTTATTAATATTTAAGCAATATGAATATATAAAACTCAGTCTTAGGTTATTACGTGCAATACACATGGGAAAATATTTTGACTATATGCAGGTTATTTTTATTCTTATAAAAAAATAAAAAATAATGCTTAATAATATTAAAAAATTGACTGCAAATATTTGTATCATATATATTTTTTAATAATTTATATATTTAATTATTTATTTATTTAATGATAAGCTTGGTCTTACAGTATTTAAAATTTTTTTTTCAAAACAAAATTTTAAACATAGAAGGGAAATTAATCGAACTAAACGATGCGTCTTTAATTTTGTAGGTTACGTATGATACTTTGTTTCAACAAATAATTAAATGTCAACTCCTAGATTGGATACATTCATTCCTTATATGGGTCACATAAATATTAACATTCCATTTAAATTGAGTTCATCCAGAATGTCAGCCTATTGTCCTGGCTGGAATGTTTGGGCTGGGCATTAGGTATGTTAATTAATTTTATACGGAAATAATAATTATAAAAAGATAGCTGATGTGGTAGACAGACCTTGTTTTTCAGACAAGAATTCACAAAAAACGGGGTTATCTTCTCTATAGGTTTTATATGAAGTTTTTAAGCTTATTTCATCCTAAACTTTAAAGTTAATAACAGCAAAACTCAATTTTGATTGAGCTGAAAAAGTAGTCAGCAAGGCTAAAAATGTTTAAAGGGGGAAATTGCAAAGTTTTAGCATAAATTCTACATTGAGTCGAATTAGGTGTAACTAAAAGCCCAAAATATATTTGTATTTAAACTGATTTGGTTAAAATAATAACTTTTTGGAACACTTCTAAAGATTTTGTACGCAGTACCCATTGTTATTCGTTTTCTTTTAAATGATGCAAAAATAATTTGAACCCTATAAAGATTATATTTTTAGTTGGCCAATTTAGTTTTGCTTTGAATCATTTTTAAACATTTTTATTACCGCTGAAAATGGTTCAATAAACAAGAAATATTGTTTTTCTTTAAAATAATCCAAACTGAACCCGGTTCGAGTCGTGAACCGCATAAACGATATATACTTTGTGATTTTTTAACACACACATTTCATATATTAATTAAAAAAGTACACAGCACTTTCAGCTGTTACATGCTACAAGGCAAACCCAATGTATCTCAGCGCACAAAAGTGTGGCATTCTTTAAATGTTCAAAAATATATATAATCAATGGACAGGCCATCAACAGGTGACTGACGGGCGCACTTACCTATTTTATAGCATACGCAGGTTGTTGTTATTGTTATTTGCTGGTCGTTTTGCTAGTGTAGTTGTTGTTTTTGGCCAAGTTTTGAGCTGTTGACAGGGCACAACTTGTGAGCCGAAATGCAGTTTCAGTTTCTGCTGTTGGCTTTGCCAATATTTATGGAAATTTTCGCTTTGGCGCCGCCACGCAATACAAGTTAGCAAAGTATATATACACACACAGCGGCAAACGCAGCACGCACAAACACACGCACACACACGCAACGCGGCACACACGCACTTGCACACCCAACACGTTCGCACACACGCGATTACAATTCGACTTTAAGTTTGGAGTATGTAGCACAGTTTAAATCTTTTTATTTAAATTTCTTTTAATATATTTTTTTTTCGTGTTTATTGTTATTTGTGAAGAATTGTTTTATTTTTGCGGCAATTTGAAGCTGCGTCTTATAATCTGCGACTGGCGCCAACGTTAGTGAACTGTGCCCCAGTGAGTTGTGGAGCTTGTGGCATGGGCCAAATACAAGTTACACGATTTTCACAAAATTTCTATGTCACTAAAGCTGGCCGCAAATTGAGAGCGCGCCGGAGCCGGAGCGGGAACTGGAGCCGAGAGCAGTTGTGAGAGGCGAATTTTGAATCAGCAGCTGCGTTGCCCGAAATCAACGAAACGCATTTGACACCTCCAAGTGGAGCAAGCGGCTAGTGGCATCCACACAACGTTTGAATTAATTACAAACTTAATATCTTTGACACTTTTCAAAACTAGACACGGTTTACTTTTGGGGCGCTGCACAAAATCCTTTCTGTACGTTCAATTTGTGCTTGCTTATCCTTCAAAATTAACTGTAAATTCCCGTTGCGTACAATTTGAACTGGCGTTGCAGAGTACCGTCTCGTTACGCGTTTGGTTGAAGACTGCGTTGCGTCCTCGTTGCGAACGAATGGGCCAGTGTCTTCGGCAACCACTCGTTGATTCAACAGTTATCACGAGCGACAAGCACACGAGGCAGACTGCATTGGCTGGGTTGCTGTGCGTGTGCGGGGTGGGTGGGTTGGTTTGTTAACACGAACCGCGAACTCTGTGAGACTAACCCAATGTAATTGCCATTACGATGCTGCCATTTCGTTTGCTCTTTTCGTTTGGCATACCGATAGAAACAAATGCGTACCACAAAGAGAGAATTTCCCAGGTAGTAGGGGATGTTTTTGTGTGGATATTGTAGAACACAAAAGGGGTAATGTACGCAACAGCTGCTAAAGCAAAATTTATGCAATGAAATAATTAAATTATAATAATATGTACAAAAATTAATGATGATTGTAGTAATATAAATAATTTTAATAATAGAGTAAATATTGAAATTATACTGTTACCGTACCAATGCAAGAAATTATTCACCCTAGAAACTATTTTAATTATTAAAATATGATATAAAATATGAAAATAAACAAAATAATAATAAAAAATGTACAATAAAATATTATAATACCCATGAAAAAGTATTAAGAAGGCTAACTCATATACATTATAATACAAGACCTTAGTTTTTCTTATTATTGTTCAGGTTTGTGTGTCAATATAAAGAAATAAATAGTTCTAAATTACAGATAATCTAAATAGTTTTCCATTAACTTAATACAAATCGTTGCAAATAACTTAAACAAAATGTATGCTAATAAACTATTAAAAAGGAAATAAATATCAAACAGGACAATAAGAATTAATATTAAATCATTATTAAAGCCCGAAGACTCATTAAAAATAATAAAAGACAGGATTCTCCCCCTCCAAATACAATAAAAATAATAAAACACATATATTGAAACCGCCAAAGCCTCTAATTTTAATAAATCAATCAAAAGAAAAGATATTTACCTGTTATTCTGACATTTATCCATTAATTCAGACCCCATGGAATAACTTTTAAAGCATATCACAAACAAAATATATTAATAATAAATCAAATAGGACGATTTCCCTAGTCCTCTGCGGCACTACTCATGTTCTTCTCATTCTATATTCATCTCTCTCTTTTAGTACTGTTAGTGAACACTCAACACTGAACACCAAAATGAACGCTACACAACACACTCGGGCAATGATCGGCAGAGACTATCTTCTTTGTCTCTCACCATGCTTTCAGCAGCAACCCTAATACAAGCAGGATAGCAATATTGAATAACAGTACCTTCTGTCAAATTCTCTGTTTATTACTAGCACTTAATCGTTAACATTCAAAAATAATAATAACAATAATTAGTGGCAAAAAAGGATAAAGCGCAAATATATACAAATAACAAATATTCAAACCCTACACACGCTAAGCTATTAAATGTCCCCTGCATGAAAAATCCCACTATTCAATTTTTAATGCTGCCACAGGACTGAAATTACCATTACCTTGGCAAAAATCATTATTTTGCTTGCTTAAAATTCCCAACTTAAGAGCGGCGGCTTATTCAGGTAAGTGTCCCCTCAACTTAAGGGAAATTTATGCAGCGCAGATCATTGAACAACGTGGCAGCCGCAGCAACTTCAAGGCCGTTGGACACTTCCGTTTCCGGCCCACCCCACCTCACACTCAAAATAAATATTTCTATTTTATTTTCATTTTCTTTTCATGTTACGCTTTGTTGTGTGGTGTGGTTGTTGCTTTTGTTATTCTTGCGGGCCACTTTATTGTTATTTTGTTTTGCTGGCAACTTCATGTAAAGAGCCATCTGTAAATTAAATTTAGCGACTGTCCACACACACACACACACACACATACACAAGGAGAGAAACCCACCAGCCTGGCCACAGTCCAATGGTCACAATTGAAGCAATGGAATATTCGCAGCTGCCCTCAAACTATTTGCCAGGCGCCCTGCCTCTCATAATGAATATTTATGAAGATTTAAAAAACATTTTCTTCGCCTCTGTTGTTTTATGATTTGCAAGTGTGCCCTTCTAAATCTCTCACCCCCTCGCAATTTCTCCACATTTCATTCGCTGTCTACATTTCTCCAGCGCCTTCAATTCAATGGTGTGCAAAGTTTCCCTGATGGACAATGTCCTCAAGTGGACGATGCTTTGTCGAGGCAAAGCATTTTAAATAGATGTGTGTGTGTGTGAGTGTGTGTGTGTATGTGGTGTGTGTGTGTATGCTGCTGCTTCTTGTTGGTGTTTTCATTTTGCAAATGATTTCATTATGTGCTGCAGACGCCGCCCGGTCGTGACGGGCGCACGGTTCGTATACTTGATATTGCTTGTTCCCGCCGCCAAACGACAAATTTGCGTCCGTGCGGACAGTTCTTGAGCGGAGGAGTGGTGGTTGGATGGGTGGTGGTCAGGGGAAATTGTTTTTCTACGCTTTCGAAAGTGCTCCACTGTTGTCTTCGTGTAAATTTATTGATAATTTAATTTGACATTTGCGGTTACTGATTGTCATGATTGTTTTCATGTTAATCTTATTGTTCGACTTTTTTCGTTTTGTTTTTATTTTTCTTTGCTTTTTTTTTTGCTCTGTTTGGTCTCTTTGCGTTGTGTATTTTTTTAATACACTTGCCTTGGGTCTTTTAAATATGCTGTAAATTGTGTAACATGCTGAAAGTGGAATCTGCAAACCATTATGATTTTGAATTTTTAGTCTAAACACACTTGAATTAATGTTGTAGATCTTCAATTTTTAAGTAAATTACCTTGCTAAATAGACTTAAATAAAACAATCTCGACTGTAAAACTGATTGCAATTAAATACAAAAATTTGCATTCATGAAGTAAGTGCCAAACTTTCTTAATAGAAGTATAACATTTCTTAAATGCAGGACTGAGTGTTGTTCTTTAAAAAAACATCTTTTTTATAATTTTTTAAAATAAGAACTTCATTCTCAGCATAAGAAATGATTAATTTTGGGCGAAAACTGCGATGGTACTCGGTTTGAGTACTTTTTTTTATAAATTATAGACAGTGTTAGAGGTAGATACTAAAAGTGTGAGAGAGAAGGAGAGAAATAAAAAGGGAGAAATAGAGGAAAATATTTATTAATAAGGGAGAGTGAAAGGGAGAGAGAGATATAATGAGAAAGAGATTGAAAACTGATATAATAATAAAGGTAAAAATAACAAGAGAGAGAGAGAGCGAGAGAGAGACGTAAGTTTTGTGCTTGAAAATTAGATATATTCACCCGCAATTATCATGCACGAAGGGTGCATTTGAAATCGATTTTAAAGCCGAACGGGTGGTAAATCAATAAACTTTCATAGAATCGTTTGCCGCCAGTTTCTAAAGTCGCTGAAACACGATGGTTGTCCATATAGTTCCGTGGAAGGAATTTTAGCTCGATACGTCACCCACCAAATCTTTGATCCCCAGTTCTACCAAATAGAGATGAACTCTCTAAAAAGTCTGAAACACACCTCAAATGAATTTGAAAATAATTTTTAAACTCGGATGGTAAACAAACAACTTTCATACAACCGTTTCTCGAAACGTCACCAACCAAATCTTTGACCCCATTTCCACCAAGGAGGAATGCATTTTTCGAAAAGTGTGAAACACTTAATGAATGTGAACAAAGATCTTTAAAAATGTGTTTGAGGTCGATCATGCAAACGTTTTTCGCGATTTTTCTACACATGCGGGTGGAATTTCCCGAAGCCCCGTCTTAACGTGCACCTTCATCACATAAGGCAACATTGATCAGAAATCAGACAGCAGATAAAAAGTTCTTTTACTTTCTAAAGTTTATTAATCATTAAAAATATTCCATAAACATAAGATAAAAATAAATTGCGCCTGGGGATTCCAGTCCAAAAATTGGCCATGTATGGCACCTGCGTCTTGATTTCACTAAAAGAATAACAAAAAATGAATAAATGAATGAAAATATAATATTAATAACAAAAACCCAATAGCTTCATAAATGTGTGAAGTGTTTGGTTGTTAAAAAAAATTTTAATTTAATATAAACCTTATGAACAATATTTCTGAGGAATTGAACAACTATAATAATAATAAGCTATAATAATAATCACTTGATAGTGCTGGTGATATTGTCAAAGATCTGATTCCTATATCCTATGGCAGAAAGTCAGATGGAGATATCTTTGAAAATATTACTTTTATATTATATACTAAGTATTATATTATATACTATTATATAACTTATATCTGACTATTATATATTTGAAACTCCAAAGGGTATATTTAAACTTCTTATAAGTCAAATATTATTTTTTGTCTCATATTTGGAATAGCGAACGGCTATTTGCATTTACTTTTTATGTGCTTGTTGTTATATTCTTTTTTTTTGTTTTGTTTTTATTTGGTTAAGGACCGACGCTTAACAACATCATCCATGGGGCGTGTTGGGAAATTTGCATGTCTTATATGCCAATGCGGTCTATGTTGTTGTTGTTGTTGTTGTTCTTTTTGTTGTTGTTCTTGTTGTTGGTCTTATGTGCTGTGGCCTCGTTTTAAAGGCTCTACGCTGGTCGCTCTTTAACTTTTGCTGTTGCTTTTGCCATTTGTGGACTTCATTTCATTTTTTTAATGCGCGTCTATTGTTTTGCTTTGGCTCAAGCACAAAATTTGCATGGGAAAACAATGAAAATGGTCAGCAACGGCAACCCATTGGAACAACCGTTTTGAATACCTTTACGAAAATGTAATGTTCTTAATGACTATGCTAAGGTATTTTAATTAAACTATTTCCTGGCTGGACGACATGCCATCATGCCACAGCCAGAGCCAGAGTCATGGCCCATGGGCGCTCCTAAGCAGCTTCAAATGTGCACAAATATTGAAATATTTATGCCACACACCTACACACAGACACACACACAGACACACGCACACGGTTAGACTGCAGATCCGTCTCCGCCTCGTTTCGTAATGCAATTTTAATTTCTTCGGCACAGCAGGCGACAACTGAACAGCAGCCTTTTGCCATCAGCCGGTTGCCTCCATCGCTTCGTTTCCGCCTGCTGCGCCATCATTTCCGCTGCTCATTTTTTGACTGACTGTGCG